GCACCATCCAGAGCCCAAGTATTACCGGCCAATGAAAATCCCAAGTGACAATTCCCTTCAGGGTCTGAAAATAAAAAATTTAATAAATGTCCTTTGATGAAAAAATAAAGTTGAAGCAAAATTCTAGATGGTTCTTAATTCTATTTTAAATGTTCATAGATCTGATATTCCCCTAGCTTACAATTTTCCATCCTTCAGTGACCTTTGTGAAAAATGGATAGCACAAACAAGGATAGTACAAAGCCAGAAGAAGAGGTTCTCCTGTAATCTGAAAAGGCCTTTTCCACACAAGCAGCTTATAGTGCAGTACATGCACATTTGGTTATTAATTCGTTGTGAGAGCTCTAAGTGTCTTCCCCGAAGATTGCACCTGGGTTGTGGGAATTATGTTTATATAGCACTCAGATCGTTATATTTTGTTCAGGAAAAATGCAATTATTCTCCCAGACAGGTCACACATTGTTACTGTGAAGACTGTGGTTGCATTTCTCAGGGACCTATGGGATAGTGTGTGTGACATCACTAGGAACTAGTTATCTATACAAATTCATGTACCAGTTGTGTGGACTTAAAAAAAAATTGTTTGTGCATGCTCCTGCCAACAATATTAGATTGCTTAAGCAATGTACTTTCTTTTAAAAGATCTCAAAAGTAGAAAGCCTGACCCTGTTTTGCTGGAATTTTTTTGTATTTCCCTACCAGACATAAATTCCCTCGCAGTGCAAAGCCAGCACTGAAACACTCATCCAGCACAAGTAAGATGACAGCAGGTCTATTCCCATATCAGTAAGGAAGGCTACTTGCATTCATTATATTTGTTTGAGATATGCTTTCTGGATTAGGTATACTGCAGGGGCAGCACTATGAATAATATCTGGGTTTTTACTGTCTAGAAAGCTGGTCATAAAGATTGTGAGGCATGAATGCTGAAGCTTAAATCAGGCGTTCATTGCAAATCAAGTATTTTCCAGCAATGAATTATACTCCGTGGACCTGGGACATGAAGATTGACCAGAAATATGGCCTTTATCTTATTTTAGGCAGAAGATCAATGTGCAACTCATTACCAAAGAAGAACAATTGGCAAGTTTTGCTCAGAGAATTTTGCTCTGCATTTCATTATCTCTGTTTCCTCGGCAACAGATACATACAGTAACATTTAGCGACAGGTTGGGCCTTCTTCACATATTACATGTTCTAACAGGGTTTTTAATTTAGTGCACACCTAAAAAAAATTATGTGACAATCTGACATGCTGTTCTGTAATGCATGAAATATCAGTGCATGTACACAGTCTAGTAGAATCTGGAGAAGAATGTTCCAGTGCAAGTAAAGACCTGGAAAAAAATTTATAGAGTGGAAGGGAGAGAAGGGGCACATGACAAAGAGCAGAAGACTTCTCTACCTCTGTACGCGGCCACACCCATTCTTGTCCGTGTGGACTGAGGACACTTATTCTTGTCTGTGTGGAACTAGTTCTGAGGACACTATTATTCTTGTCTGTGTGGAACTAGTTCTGAGGACAGCTGCTGCTTCCTTTCTGCTTGAGCCAAGAGGTTCCAGCAGATCTCTAAATGTGGTTCCATGGAGACAACATATAGTACAGTTGATCCCAGCTTGATCCACTAAGTGCCTGATCTGAGCAGAGGGGCTTTGGTGGACTTCTTATAAGGCTTGTCTTAACAGTCCCTTTATTTTTTTTTTAACACCAGCAATGGTACATTTCTTTAAGGCTTTTCCATCTTCCATACCAATAAGGCAAGAGTGTCCAAGAAAGTGGAGCTAGGCTCATACATCCTGCCAGAGCAGCAAGGCTATCAAAACTGGATGGTCAGCCTCGCTCTGAGCCAATACAGTCTACATTAACTTGTATAGACTTGCCTGGAGCCAGAGGAGGCATGACCAAATCAGTTTGGATGACTTCCCTCACTGAAGGAGAAGTGCCTGATCTGACCAAAGGAGCTTTGGTGGACTTCTTATAAAGGACTGAGCTTGCAGAGGAGTCATGTGAGTAAGCCCTCCATTCCCATGATCCCTTAACCTTAGAGTAAATAGTCCTCACAGTTTAAAGAAGATATGTGGAAAGAGATATGGGCTTAGCATATATGACCTCAAGCATACAGCCAGTTCCTCCTCCCTTTAGACCCTAGGCTGCAGAAAATCAAGCAGCAGCCTCTTTGCTTCCCTTCAATTGAAGCTGCCTCAAATACAGACATTAAGGCACCCCACCTCTGTTTTTAGCTTCCCTTTTACTAAACTCCAAGCTTGTTGGGGCAGTATAGGAGTGGTATGACAAAACAGATGGGGGGGGGCAGATAAAACTGAGTTGCCATCACATTTCAAATTAATTGGCCATCCCTAGTCTGCAATACTGAAACAGTATTTGATCCATGTCACAAGTCATCTTTGTACCAGTAGCCAGAAAACCCACTATGATTTATAGTAGCTATCAGTAATTATCCCTTCCCTCCCCATACGCAGCATCACATGCCTTCATACAGAATCCCCAAATAGGTACTCCCTAGCAACTATAATAGCATGCTTTGGTTCATCGGAATAGTCACCCCTTTATTTTAGACCTTTCAGGCTTCTGGCTTTAATGTCTCCTTTGGGCTCTGGACTGCCAATAATAATGTGTGGCAGATACCATGACAACATTCCCCTAGTCAAGGCCAAAGGGAACAGAAGAACTGAAATGTATGGGCTGCCTTAAGTGTCATTTTTGTACATACAAGATGGTTGAAATATATGTCCCTATAGCCTCAATCTTAATTACAGATAAGCATTACAAAACTACAGAATTACAGATAAGCATTACATTTTAAGGCTCAGCTACATTTGACTGTATGTGAAATAGACTGACAGACTATCCTTAGAGAGTAAGACAAATAAACTGAAAATCCCAACCCAAAAATGGCAGCAAACACTAAATCATCTGGTCTTGTTTTACTTGCAACTGGTACTCTCCTCAGAGGGCTAATTTGGGGGGGGGGGTGCTACCAGCACAAATGAATGGCAGTGGAGCAAGAGGATGCTGGATGGGGTTGGCTGTGAAACAACTGGTGGATTACAGCCAGAGTCTCAGAAAAAGAGCAAGTCTAACAGGGAAAAGGGATTCATTATTTTTGTCCTTAATTGACTGAAGCAGACTGTGCATCTTTGCAGAATTACTAAAAACATTGTTCTTTTTTGCAGTGTCTAAAACTTAAAGAGCAGTAAAATTCACTGACGTGTCAAAATTTCAGGGCAAAAGAGTTCAGCAGATTGAAGTGGATGGGGGCAATACCTAAGCAAATTAGAACTGTCAAGAACAACGCATTGCAGTAGAAATCAGCAGACCAAGCTTAGGGAAGGCTTTTTGTTTTCAAGTGGAATATCAGGAACATGCCTATCTGCAAAGCAGCAGCCTTAATACAATTAGAAATCTACAAAATTGGGACATTTTCTCAAGCACACACTAAAATGTTTGGTTCAGTATTCAACTATCTAAGTGCTTTCCTTTTATATTTTGCCACTTGAGGGTTTTTGTTGTTGCTGTTTGTCTAACTTGGGATCTAGGGAGTTATGGCAATTATCACTGCAATTGTCTATTCATATAATCTGGGCTTGTGCTCAGTTACATTATGGAACAAACCCATAAACTAAACATTCCCTCAGTCAGAACTAAAATAAACATCTGGGATTGTGCCAGTCACTCTGTCAAAGAGCACTTTGGATACCTCAGATATTATCCTGATAATAAATAATTTCACCTCCATGTAAGAAATATGGTTGTCAATATTAATTTATACAATAGAAACATATCATTTATAGACAGTGATTGAAACTCTTTGTAACAACAAATAGAGGCTATACAGACACTACAAGAGGCCTTGGGGGGTTATTCACAGACTAACATGAAAACAAGGACAAAGAAAGCACCAATAATAGTGGGGATGGAGACTCTTATGCCAAAGTCAGAGATCCTTTCCCCATCTCAATAAGTACCAATCTGTGCAATTCAGAACTCCAGTTTTCCTAAAGCTGAAGCATAAAGTATTTAAATATTGACTTCCCATCCTCTCATGTTATGTTGAAAATCTGGAAGACTCAAGCACAGACCACAGACACTTTGTACAGGAAAGGATCTTCTCTTTATCTCACTGACCTGATCAAATGCTGGTGTAAGTATTCATTACCTCTGACTAGAGTACTCGTGGAATGTGTGACCTTCTAATTTGCTTTGCAAACCTCACAAGTTTCCCCTTGAATCTCTGAGATCCAGAGCCACTAAAAAAATTTTAAGCTGCTTCTTACCCCCAAAAAGCAAATGACCAGCCGGTTCTTCAGGTCTCACACAACAAACATACTACAAAGCCCCATGTTCTGAGGAATCTTCCCTCAGGTCTTCCACAATGTGGCATAGCTCCAGTTCTTTTGATAGGGTCTTATAATGGACTGTTATAAGCAAGTAGGTTAGAATCTGTCAGCGTGGTGCACACCCGTTCTTTTCCCCATGAAGGGACAAGCAGCAGCTGGAGGAATCTATGTACTTATGAACTGGAAGGAGTCAGTTCAAATATTAATATTTGTTGTATACTTATGCTGTTGATTGATAGCCAGGGGTATAAAGGTACACAACTTGACATAGGGGTGTGAATTATATCAGCAGCTCCATATGGTCTGGAATATGAGATAGGGTCTATGGGGGTGTGGGGGTGCGAGTGAGAGAGGAGAGAACCTGGGTTGCTATGAGAAGTGGTACCATTAGACTGGTCTAATTAATATTTCTAGCCCACTCCTGGAATCAAAACAAGGGGGAGGGCTAAAACCTCAATGCTAAAGGCCCCATACTGAGACTAGCAGTGCCAGGAAAGCATTTGCCCTGTGGCATCAGTAACATCCACTGCACAGACTCCAAGATACAGCATTCTGTGTTCTAGCCCTGAGTCACCAAAGTAATTCCTCACAAGTCCAGGCTTGCTCCTTGTTTGCACCAAATGAAATAATATCTTTCCAGGTCAAAGGGTTTTCAGCTTCAGCACCCTGGAGAGTGGTTCTTTTGCACTGGAATACATGAGGTAAGAGCCAGCTGTAGTGTTGAAGGCTTCCCAGTCCCTACAGCCAAATGTTGGAAGATGGTGAACCGCTACAAACCCTTCATATCCTTGCCATCTGCAGTAGAAAGAAAGACAGTTATTCTATGCCCAAGAGCCTCAAACTTACAAGAATCTGATTCTCTTCCCACTATTGTCTCCAAATGGCTCTTTCTCTTATCCAAAGAAACTGATAGAAGAAACCCCTATCCCAGCAAGCTTACAATTTTCCCCATCACTGAAACTGGACATGCTGCTCACACCTGCTATACATATGACAAGGTACCTCACCAAAGACTCCTGAGTAAACTTAGCAGTCATGGAATAAGAGGCTGGGTTCTCTTATGGATTAAAAATGGTTTACATGATAGGAAGCAAAGAGCAAGAATAAATGGACACTTCTCACAACAGATGGAAGTAAGAGGGAAGGGTTATTTATTAATTTATGCATAAATGATCTGGAATGAGGGATGAGTAGTGTAGTGGCCAAGTTTGCAGATGACTCAAAATTATTCAGGATGGTGAAAACAGAGGCTGACTGAAGAGCTCCAAGAGGATCTCCACAAATTGGGTGAGTGGGTGACGATGTGGCAAATGAAGTTCAGTGTTGGTAAGTGTAAGGTGATGCACATTGGGACAAAAAAATCCCAGCTTCAAGTATAGGCTAATGGGGTCTAAACTTGCTGAGGCTGAGAGGGCAAAAGAACTTGGGGTCATAGTGGATAGCTCAATGAAAGTGTCCACCCAGAGTGCTGCAGCAGTGAAAAAGGCAAACTCTATGATAGGGATTATTAGGAAAGGGATTGAACATAAAATGGCTGATATTATAATGCTCCTGTATAGATCTGTAGTGCAACCTCATTTGGAATACTGTGTACAGTTCTTGTCACTGTATTTCAATAAGGACATTGCAGAGCTCAGAAAAGTACAGAGGAGAGTAACCAAGATGATTAGGGGGTTGGAGCACCTTCCCTATGAGGAAAGGCTGAAGAGTCGGACTTTTCCGTTTAGAAAAGAGACGATTAAGGGGAGACATGATAGAAGAATATAAAATTATGCACAGGGTGGAGAAAGTTGACAAAGAAATTTTTCTCCCTCTTCCAAAATACTAGAACTTAAGGGCATCCAAAGAAGCTGATGTCCAGTAGATTCAGGACAGACAAAAGGGAATAGTTGTTTACACAATGAATTATTAAAATGTGGAATGTGCTGTCAGAGGATGTAGTGATGGCCACAGAAATAGACAGCTTTAAATGGGGATTGGACAGATTCAGGGAGGACAGGTCTATCAGTGGCTACTAGCCATGGTGACTGAGGGGAACCTTCATGTTCAGAGGCAGTAAACCTCTGAATCCCAGTGCTCACCAAGTTAGGTAGAAATAAGTAGCCCATCATCAGGAGGCAAACACTAAGCAGTGGAGAGATCTGTTTGATATGGGAAATGTAGAATGAGAATAAGAAAGAAATTGTCTTGTACCTTGTAGCATGGTGAGGCAAGGCAGACAAAATTATGTACTTGGACCAGGGAGCTCTTAGCCATAAATCTCAATGAATGGCCTCAGGCATAGCATTAATGTTGGGGGATAAAAATGGGACAACTTGATGTTTGGTGCCCTGTGTTCTCTGAAGGGAGGCAGGATACATATGTGATTTTAAACATAGCTGACAGTGCCCGTGTGCAACTGCCATAACTATGTAGCATTTACCATGTCAGAAAAATCAGCAACCATATGCATTAGCTTGTTTGGTGGAAAGTGATACAGGCTTAATCTAGCCCTCAATTTCCCTTTCAGAACAGCTGATCAATGCAATTGCCAATTTTCTGTCTGGGACTATGCATGCACCACTCTAATAGCTGAACTGGATAGAATCTACATGTGTAGCAGCTCTCATTCTGTGGGTTTTCACGCACTTTGGGGATCTGTGTGCAGAAACTTTCTATGGGGTAATGGAGTCCAGGACCCAGTGATGAACGACTGCTATTGCTTGGAAGTATACGAGTTTCAGTTTAGGTTAATTTCCTGCCTGTCTTTTGGTTAAGGTTCATATTTCTAGCCTTCAAAACAAATTGTATGTAACCGCCTCTCCATGAAAATGTGCATTATGTTACCGAAAAAGAAAACAGCATTGGTCCAGCCTGGTCCCAGAAGATTGGAAAAGACCCAAGAAATCTATTTTTAAAGGGGGAAGGAGAAATCCAGAGACTGGATAGTTTAGCTTGAAAAACACTACAGGAAATAATGAAATAAAAATTGATGTCTTCCTAGAACCAAATGGATTAGCTGTCATCATGACTTCATTAAGAACATGTCATAGCTTGTGTTTGTGTTTGTAAACTGAAACAATATTTTTATACAAAAGAAAAAGAGCATGTCATAGCAAAGTTGGTGTATTTTGCTGATTTCAGCAAGGCTCTGAGCCAAAACTAAAATGACATCCTCCTGGAAAAGCTAAAGAAACTTGGGGTAAAGGGGGGGGGATTAAAATATGTAGCTGGGCAACTGTAATCAAAAGATAATCAACAATGATACCTATTGGTATTCTATGGGGTCAGTCCTGCATTCAGTACTTCCAGATACCGTAGGGTTTATTCACACATGTTGAGTTCTTCCAATTGATTTCTTAAAACTGATTGTGTGAACAGATTCCAGTGAAAACTACAATGTTTTAAGTGATACGAGGAGATAAGAAAGTTCTGTCATGTACAAACCAGTCCTCAGCTAATAATGTGCAAGAAAGAGTGAACATATAAATTCAGGATACAGAAGTGATAGGCATTTGTCAGGGATAATTCAAGAACAGAAAATCTTGATCTGATGATAAAGGTGCCATTGGATCCTTTCCAGTGTCCCAGTCCCTTATGATATCTTATGATTATGTCATTTGGCATTCAGTGGCAGAAGCAGAGGGTGAGGATGGACTGATTCCCCTCACACTTTTTCTTCCCTGTATTGGCTAACACTACAAGATAACCCAATAGTATCTATTCTGCCTTTTGAACAATGGAAGTGGTCATCTGGGTTGGATCCCACTGCGATTTTTGTAGACAATTTTCTCTGTTTCCCCCACTCTGCAGCAGCCCAAAATGTTACTGTGGGGGGATGGGATCTTTCAGCAACATCTTGGAGGAATCAGAAGTCTATTGCAGGAGGGGGACTGTTAAAAATTACCCCCACTTTGTGTGTATGGAAATCTAGGTGGGATCCAACTAATCTCTCTAGTTCTCATTCACCAGAGAAATGATACAATTATTAATTGACTTATGAGACAGAGGGAAGTTCTGCTCGTGATTTCTTACCTGTAAATAATACTGTTTACAGAGAAGGTTACACCATCAAAGGAATTTGCTACTACCAAAAAGTAATCTTCTCCCACTGAAAAGAACTCCCAGTCCACAGCGCTGCAACAGAAACCAGCCAAACAAGAAGAAATGGCAACAAACCCAGAATCACCAATGAATATATCTTGTTTCCATTTCATATTTACAATGGGAAAGTCTTGCTTTCCAAAATAAAGGGTAATTTAATTTTCAGAGAAGTGAATGTTTTTGTCTTTGTATATATTCTACTAGCAATATTTTTTTAAATCTAGAATTGCACTTAACATCTGAAAAAGAATCAAAACATTCCTGAAGGCAAAAATGTATCAATTTCTCTGTCAGGATAACACAATCCCAGTGTGAGCAACACACAAAAGAGGCACCTGTAAGTAAGAATATCCTGGAATTTGACGAACATCTGTGCAGTCACGTTAAGCTCATAGATGGAGGAATTGATGGCATAGTTGTTTGGGGCAATAGGTCCACTGTCATAGCTGTGACTGTTTGCCACAGCAAGGAAGACTCTGTCTTGGATGCAAAATACTTCCCAGTCAGCAGCACCAAACGTCTATAGGAGGCAGGAGGAAATTATCATCAGAAAATTTGTGGCAATTGTAGAAAGATGAATTCAAAGTAATACACAGAGGAATCTTATAGACTACTTGTACCTGCAATTCAGAGAAGAAATTTAGCTCAAGTATAAGTCTCCATTAACAGCTTGTGCATTAGATCATAGTATCTCCATAACTCCTCAGGCTGTACCTCCATCACAGAGAACTGACATTACCAGCACAAGAAACACAAATCATAATGGGTTTTCTACCAGACTCTTTCGCCCTGATAAATTTTGATGATGTATATAAAGTAACACCACAGGCTGTGTCCAACAGGTGTCTGCAACATTTGCTCATGACAAGAGTGCCTCAGCAATTCTGGAGGATTTTTTTTAAAGAGAGCCCTTGCCCACATAAGTTGCTTGGTAGATTCCCTGTACCGGGGAGCCACACTGGGTCCAGTGGCAGCTGTGCAGCCTGGCACAGCGGTGGCTGCACAGGGCGTTAAAGTGCCTGGGAGGAAGTCTCTGCTGTCTCACTCAGAGTAGCTCCAGGCAAGCTAGCAGACACTCCCCCCCCCACACACACACACATTGCTCTCTGAAGCTCTCCCGGAGCTGCTTCAGGTGAGCTCCCCCCCCCCAGCTCTCCAGGGAGCCACAGAGAGCTGGGGTGGGAAGACTGTACTGGCTCGGCAGGAGCTGCTCCAAGGGATCCACAGAGAGTGGCGGTGGGGGGAGTCTCTGCAGGGTCAGTTGGAGCTGTTCCGGGTGAGCCAGCACATCCCCCCCCCACCAGCTCTCTGTGGCTTGCTGGGATCCCTGCCCATGAGTCTCACAGGCCCCCACATGTGTGTGTGTGTGTGTATGTGTGTGTGTGTGAGCAACTCAGGTCAATGTAGTTAATCCTTTTGCTTTTAACTGGAAATAGTGGTTGCCCTTAAGAATGCAAAGCTGCAGAGCCTCACTCCACTCTCATTGATGGCTGGAATCCACTGAAAACACTGTTAAGAAGCCCTGACCTGGATAGCCCAGGCAAGCCCAATCCCATCAGTTCTCGGAAACTAAGCAGGGCCGACCCTGGCAAGGGAGACCTCCAAGGAATACCAGGGCTGGGACACAGAGACAGACAGTAGAAAGCCACCTCTCTGAAACATCCGAACCCCACTAGGGGTCGCCAGAAGTTAACCATGACTTCCAGGCACACACAAACAAATACTCACCAAAGAAAAGAAAAGAAAATACTGTTAAGAAGATGGCAACTGCTTTTATTGTGCTCTCTGTTTTCATGCACAATCCCATCCTCAGCTACCAGCCCAATGAGCTAAAGTAATTTCTAAATTTGTGCAAAATAAAAAAGTTCCCACACTACCCATTTGGCAACATGTTCACATGCAGACAGCCTTGTCGTTGTTGCACATCTACACTGAGTTTAGGGTTGGGCCAAAGAGAATGGCAGGGTGTGACATTAGGTTTCCCTTTGTTTCGTTATTTTTTGGAATCATATCCCCAGAACTTGTATTTTGCCACCAGAAGCAAAGCTCCAGGAGCCTGCCATTGTGGCAGAGATGGACATAAGCCTCCGCTGCTGCTACCAGTTTGGTGCAGGCGGCCCCTAAGCAGGGCCCTTCCAATTGTGCTGCTCGAAGTGGCTGGCTGGGTCATTTGGGGAGAGACCCAGCCCTGCAGACTCTATTGAGGACTATAACGAGAAAACATGTTCAGAATTGAAAAGCCTCATACATTTTTCCAGAGAGCTCCTTGAGCTCAGTCCTGGATCCCTTCTGGGTTTTGCCTGAGTTATTCATATGCATTTTCAGTATTGATGTAATATTTTCCAAGGGGTTTCTTCCATATTCCAAAAGCAGCAATATGGGGGGGGGGGGGGGAGGAACCATAGCCAGCTCCTTGTTTTTGTTACCCAGCTTCGGCCAATAGCAAAGTGGACTACGGCCAAGGCTAAGCACTTGCTCGCCATTCCCTGCAGTTCATCCTGTACTATTTACCTCAGCCACTAGGTCTGGTGCCACTGTTTCTGGCGTGTCCAGGGATGGTGAGTTCCCTTTCTCCCCTTAAGAGGGACAGTGACTGATCCCCCTTCACACGCATATACTAGAGCCACTTGGCTGACTGAAAAGGGAATTACAGGACAGCCAGAAAAGGTACAGCTGTCATGTTGCCATGGCAGCAGGGATATACTCTAGCATGGCTGCCAGCTCCTGCTGGGAAAGACCCAGTAGTCAGGGTGACCAGAATGCATATCAACAGTGCCACAGAAATGTGGAATCCCCAAGTCATTAGTGGGAGTGAAAGAAATTTGGCCCAGCAGGAGAAGCATAAAGAGAGAAGGACGAGGTCTGGCTTGGGAGGATTCTCCCGAGAACCCTCAACAGGAGCACAGGGGTGAGGACAAGGTGGTCTGTGGCACAGACCTTTCTTCCTGTAACTTGAAGTTACATGGGGTGGGCTGGGGAGGGGCTGACTCAGACATGTGGTCAACAGTAGTAGCATACAGGAGGCTGTGCTCACAAGGAGTGTGGCAAGCTGCTGCAAAGCCGGGTGTGCTTCTGAAATAAGCTGTGGTGGTGCCTCTTCTTTTTCAAAGCATCAGTGTCATCACCCCACTCTCCTTAACTCCTCATTGACTGCTTCAAGAGGCACCTCAGCAAATATGGCAGCAGTGTTTCTTCCCAGTGTCTCTGGTTAGTGGAAGCATCCTCATGGGATTGTGGGCCCATAAGGTTTGCAGCCATGGTAGCTACTGACACTGAATTGGGGGGGGGGTTGCACTTAGAAGGGGCTGAGATTGCAAACATTTCAAAAAACTGGAACTTTTTTTCAACAAGACCTCTATAAGTTACGGATTCCAAACGATTTATAAAAATCAAATATATCACATCCTAACACCAGTTTGCATACTCAAAGGAATGCTGCTGATCTTCACCAAAACAATCTACAACATACAATGACCCTGACTTGCCTTTCTCACTCTCATTAAAGTAAATGGCTCTGACCCAAACATAATAGTATTTCACATTACCCTTTTTAAACCGTTATTGTACCATCATGGAATAAACTGGTTGTTTTACACAGCCTTTCCCTTCCAGTAAGGAGCCATCTCTGTAGTGGTGTGTCATTTCAAACTGCACCACTTTCTTTTCCTGCCATTCCCCAACCCCCCCCCCCCCACAAACACACACGATCTCCCTGACACGTTTAAAAAAAACCAACTTTCTATTGGGAGTGCTATGGTGCTGAAGCAGGACTACAAATCAGCACCATAGCAACCCCACCCAGATTCTGGACTCCATTTAGATACACTGACATTTCCTACTGCTGTCACTGAAACCAGGGGTCTCCCGGTGACCACTCGTCGACCCCGGGGGGGGGGGGGGACCGGACAGTTTTGAAACCCAGGAAGCTTTCCTTCCTTCCTTCCTTCACTCCCACAAACCATGGTGTGTTGTGTGTACCTGAGTCTACACTTCCTCTAAAGCAAACTTTTTAAAAATCGACCAAACATCTGTCTCATTATTCACTTATGCCCCTGATCTCCCTTATAACATGCTGTCCAATCAGGTACTTGTTCCAAGTGACAGCAGTAGCAAATGTCAGTGTATCTAAATGGAGTCCAGGAAACTCAATGGGGTCACTATGGTGCTGATTTGTAGTCCTGCTTCAGTGCCATAGTGCTCCCAATAGAATGTTCAAAAAAAAAAAAAAAAAAGAGGACAATCACACGTGGGGAGAAAAAGGGCACAAAAAGAACTGTAATCGCAGGAAGTGCTATGGGGCATTTTATACAGCACTCCATAGCACTTCAGAAGCGGTAGGAAAGACTGAAGATTGGAGGAAAGCAGTTTGAGTCAACAATGCTTCAGGCACGCTTCCCAAATGGGACAGAAGCGTGTTTGTCTGAACAGGTAAATATATTCCATCAGGGACCAGTTACTAAAATGGTCTGTCTGAAATGACAGGAAAAAAACATTAGTGACCAGTTCCTGAAATGGAATATATAGGCTGTCTGAAATTGACCATAATACCGCAAAAAAGAAAGTGTGGGCAAAAGAGACGTACAGTGACTCTGAACAATGCATGGAGATGTTCGTTCCCATCCAAAGCAAGTTATGTGCACTTTCATTGGCACAGTGCAGGGGCAGTAGCCAAAGAATTCAGTAGTGCACATCCACATCCTGGCCCTGCTGATCTTACCCATATCTGCACATGTAGACTGGGGTATGCTATTACATCTCACACAAATTTATTTGAGGGGAAAATACACTTTTTTGCCTGCAGCAAAATGCAGATTTGTGCAAGGAGGGCATCTGCAGATTTGTGCAAGAAAGACCACCTTCCTGTACAAGTCATACACACCATGGATACAAACTGATTACCTGAAAGACACTGTCCAAGCACTTAGACAAGAGGTAGTGGTTTGCCTGTTAACAGCATCTTACCTAAATAAAGTTTATTGTGAACTGTTTGATGTATATGTTGGTTTTGTCGTAAAATAAAAATTATAAATTAAAAAAACAAAAACAAAAAACAGCATCTTACCAAGATTGACTGGAAGAGCTGGAAGGCTCCACTAAACCAAATGTAGATGTGAGAGTAGATTCTGGTGGATGTTCCATTAAATGTGTTGGCCACCACAAGGAAGGAATAAGGCCCAACGGTGAAAAATTCCCAGTCGTAGGCTCCTGAGGTAGGAATGGTCTGGTTGGTTTCAAAAAGTCCTGTTCTGGAGTTCCACCTATATATTACACTGTCTATATTGTGGTTATCCCCTATGGAGGAATAAGAAGAGAAGATCATGTATGAAAATGGCACAGAAACGTGGGAAGGAATGAAGGAGAGGAAGATGCTTAGGCAATAGGAATGAAGTTGGCTGCATCTGATTTGAATATTTGGGCTTTGTCTGGCCATGACAGTCATGTCAAAGTCTACTGATAGGTTTATGGAAACTAGATTCTAATTTTTATATGATAAATAAGAATGATAAAGTGCTATTCATTTCATCTGAGAAGATTTCACACACAAAAAAAGTAAATTAGCAGGTTCTAAAATGAAAGACTAGAAACCATACATTACAATTCTTTGTAGGTTCCTTTCGTTTCTTCCTGCATTAATTCTATGCTTAATTAACTGTACACTGCATCATGGAAGTTGGCTGAGCATTTTGAAATTGGAAGAATTTTGAGATTAAAATAATTCAAAATTGAAACAAATTTTCTAGTCCCAAGCATATAGATTAAAAACAGTCACTAAGAGTGGTATACTAGAATGAGAAACAATTCTGATCAGTGCAACAGTAGGTTTTGATTATCCCCCCCCCCCCAAAAAAAGGAAAAAAAACAAAAAGGACAACTGAAAGCTACTGTAAGAATTAAGACAATTTACTTTCACATCACCTTTTTGTTCACAGATAAGTCAGAAACCATGAAACTAACTTCTGTGCTAACAGACTCCACTAGGTGGCAGCATATGGTAATTTTATCAACGCTCAGAATGCCCCAAAATCCAATATCCGAAAATAATTGATTACAGATCCTGAAGAGATTTTAGGAGGCTTCATTTCTGTTCAAGTTAACATGCCTTCCAGATGCTTTGGAGGGATGTTGTGGTATTTGAATGCAAATGGCTGCAATCTAAACACTACAAGTCAAGTTCCTAACAGTTAATTAGCATCTCTAAGTCACTCGTCCAAATCAGATAATCAACTGCTTGTTCTCACAGCTTGGACTGACACACAGGAAACATCCCATAGCCATTAGCAAACTTATAAAATACATAACCACACAGTGCACACACAGCAGGTATAAATTTGAAATGTCTGGTGTGAAATGAAAAAAGGTACCCATTGCTTAGCAAATTGAGGCCCTGTTCACATGAGACGTTTGGGGCCGGGAGAGGGACGGATCGGGGCCGCAGCAAACAGGCGCGATCCCACAGCAACATCTGGGAATCGTGCTGCGCCCGTTCCCAGCCCGTTCCCAATCCGCCCCTCCCGGCCAAACCCCGCAGCAAAAAAGAACCACCTACCTAGGTGGTTCTTTCCGAAAGGCCGCATCACTGCCAGCCATGGGATCGCCGGCGCGTCTTTCCGCCGGCGCATCCCCGCCCCCCGGGCGTACTGCGCATGCTTGAGCATGCGCAGTTCGGCAGCCTCCCCCTCCCAATCGTCTCTTCCTCCCCGGCATCTGATCGTGCCGGGGAGCAATGGCACCGCGGCTCAGGGGATCGTGGGATCCTGCCGCGGCGTCTCTTTTTTGGTGCGGCTTTTAAAAGCTGCACTTTGGCCAGTGTTTTCCCTGCCGTGTGGCAGGGGGCCTCATCTAATGTTAACATATTCACCCATTTTCTTTACATCTCATGAGTGTACTAACATAAAGTTGATCTACCTGCACACTTCTGCAGGCATCCTGCACAGACTCTTTGAACAGCAGGTGTGCCTGACTTGTTCTTCCAACAAATAACATCCTTGTCTAGCAAAGTGTTGGTTAGAGTAACGTTGGCTAGAGTGATAACCATTCCCTGCAGTAGTCCCTCTTGTCAGACTTACTTTTAGGAGGAAGGTTGAATGTGCACATGCTGTCAAGAAGGTTAGGATATGATTGTAAATTACCCATCTTGCAGGCACATTAACCCTGTGCGAGTGCATTTAAAATTGTCTTTTTCTGATTTTCACACATACATATATACCCTGCCTGTGGGATTGAAAAGTGCTTTTAACTGGTATAGCATTAGCACCTAAATACCTCTTCTGTGATTAGCCACTGCTAGGAAGGCCTCTCCATCAATGACAAATGCCTCCCAATCTCTAGCACCATATGTTGAGATCCTCTGGTATGTGACAAATTTCTCTTTTCTGTAGTTCCACTTGTAAATTACTGAGAGCTCCTGGCCCCTTTCATTCTGTTCAAAATTAGCGACTGCAAGGAAAATCTGAAAAACAGGAACAACTCAGATATTCTTCTTGCAGAAAACTATCAAGAAAAGCACACAGATCATTAGGTTAATCTTCAACAACATGTGAATTTTCCGTAACAGCCTAACAAGGGATACTGGGTAAGCCAGCATCAGGTAACTCAGAGTTCATATCTATGGCTTCTTCAGAAGATTGTCCTTCTTATTCTTCCCTCACCCTTCCCACAGTAGCTCAGCCACAATCACAGCAACAAATAAAACTTTCCAGCCTTTAACAAATAAACTTCAAAGGGAGATTGCAGAATGAAACAGCTGACTTTGAATTCATCTGGAAGTTTAACACTATCTCAATAGGCCTTATAAACCATCAACAGAAGGAGGTCATAGAACGGAGCTCTGCCTTTCCTCCCAACTGCAACTTCCAGACCTCCCCCACACCAAAAAAAGCTGTTCCTGGCAGTTGGAGGGTTCTTGGGAATACAGTGGGATAAACGGGGGGGGGGGAGGATGTAGTTTGAATGGAAACCAACAGAAATTTCCCCTCCTCCCTCTCGTGTCAGCTCCTCCATAAGTGAGGCAAGCATTCACACAAGGAGTGAGGAGGCAATGTCTTGTAATTTCTCCAGCATTCACTCCTGTCCCCAAGGCCTCCAAAATCACTTGGGGCCGAGAAGTCACACAGTGATGGAGGGTGGACACACACACACACACACACACACACATACACATACAGAGAGAGAGAGAGAGAGAGAGAGAGAGAGAGAGAGAGAGAGAGAGCTCAGATTTTGCTGCTGTGAATGGATATTGCTCTTATCTTACATAAAGGTGAGCATTGAATAAGAAGGCCACTGTAATTCTTGCATTTCATTGCCTTTTGACTTCATTTTTACAATTTTATCTTTGTCACAATAAAGATCTTAAGATGATGATGAACAAGACTTCTTTTTTTGTGGAGCAAAAGAGAGGCGGGAAGACATGGAACAGAAAGACTGCCAATGCCAAAGGAAGGTTGCCTTCCTGCATTTTTAGGAACACCCAGCAAATATAAGGAATCTGAACTACAGGACTGCCCTTTGTGGTTAGTACTATTTTCACTGCCATGTCCATGCCACTAGAGAGCCAACTAGCAGACCTAATAGCTTATCAACATTATTCTGCTCCTCTCTGATCATGAGGAAGTGCCAAGACTTTAGCATGGCATTGCAACTCTGTTCCTAACAACTGGAAATCCTGCCCAGTGCCTGCCTCCCACTTTCCAAGATTCTTTTTTTTAAAAAGTGCGAAGGCTGGCACTGAATGTAATTGAAAGAAGGTGCTCTTCCTAGCAACAGCCATTATCCATTAACAAGGCTGGGTCTAGGAGCACCCCCATACTCTTAAATTTGATCTGCTATGGAAAACTTAACCCCATTTAAGTCTGGCAAATAAACCCCAGCCAAAACTTCTACTTTCCCAACTGGTATCACATCTTGTCTCTATTAAGCTTCAATTGTTCACCCCCAGCCATTTGACCATAACATCAAGATACTGGTCCAGAACTTTCATAGCTGTCTTCATAGGCTTATCTGAAACATTTAGCCTATACATGGTGAATTCACAGTCTGCTCAGTGGCTGGGAGGAGGAGACAAAGATGAAGAAGAAGGAGAAGAAGGAGAGTGACTGACCCAAGGTCACCCAGCTAGCTTCATATGGAGGAGTGGGGAATCAAACCCGGTTCTTCAAATTAGAGTCCATCGCTCTTAACCACTACACCAAACTGGCTCTCCCCTGGCTGAATGTATGACTCAGGCACAGGGCAGCAGATTCATCAAGTGAAGTATTTTCCATGTATATGGAGTAACACAGAAATCTTCACTTGATTTAAGTCACTACTACAGGTGCAGGAGCCCTGCTCAAAACAGTTTGCAAAACCAGCAGAAATATTTAGGGTTACAATTCTTTGCACACTGGGAGCAAGTTTCTGTTGGGTACTTTTCCAGCACTCATGCATAAGATATATTGGGAAATGCTTCAATTATCTTTCTAACATTATTCCTCTGATTATTTTTTTTCGGGGGGTATTTCTTTGGTATTTGTGTCTTTGTGTGTGCACCTGTGCCAGGAAGTCATAGTGACCTCTGGTGACTCCTACTGGGGCATGGAGGACGTTGTGGCTTGATAGCTTGCCTCTGCCTCCGGGCCCTGGTATTCTTTGGAGATCTCCCATCCAAATACTTGCCAGGGTTGGCCCTGCTTAGAGCTTCTGAGATCTGACGAGATTGGGCTTGCCTTGGCTATCCAGGTCAGGGCGTAATTATTGTGATTCTGATGTTCTGGAGCCAGACACCAGCAAAAGCAAAAGAAGAAGACTAAGGCACAGAAAGACAAATATCACCACTCATATAGTTCTCATACTTCAAAGACATCTAACAAGATTCATAAGCTGTTGAACATCTGCAAGAGGAACCCATACCACTAATAAGCAACTGGCTTTCTTCAGAGAGGCAAAAAATACATCCTATTGCCAATAGCAAAACACTGGTACTTGGCAATCTCCTTACATATTTCATGTTTTTCACGCGTTGGCCCGGTCTTGTAGTTAATGAATTCCTACGGGAATATGGAATGAGTAACAAATGGTCTCTGTGATCTGGAGAACTGAGTAGTTTCTTCCTCCAATGGGCTAACTAGAAATAGTCAAGAGATGTACATCCCCTTCAAAGTTTGCCATCATCTCACAGGCTTTGAATTGTGCTCTATCTGATTTGGCATGAGTCTTCCACCATCAGCACTCAAGATGTCTTCCACCTCTCTTAAAATCTTTTGGCTTCTCATAACACTAAGGAACTAAGGCTCTGTTTGTGGAGGGGATACCAAGGAGCAAATGCCAATTGCTCCTAAAGACCGTTTTGTTCCATGGCCCCATCAAGGCATTCACAGAGCTGCTGCTGTAATTTTCAAAATCCCCTAGAGCAGGTGTGTCAAACTCATTTGTTACGGGGGCCGACTCTGGCCATGTATGACATAAAATGTAATGCCAGGTACCAAAGATATAAACTTTATGAAGGACACAGGGAAACCCAATTGACAATATTACTTTAAATCAAAATACAAACAAAAGCAATTGATTCCTAGCAGTAAAAGCAAATGATTTACTGGGGAACCCATGAAAGCCCTTATAAATGTATGTAATCATATGCAAGGCACATTCTTGTTCAAGGGATACCATAAAAGGGGGGGGGTATCTTACACTTCCATATAAATTAGCTACTTTTTGTATACATAGCCCTTTTAGGAGATGTCATTGTCCTTGCAAGTAAACAAGGTAGTTTTTCAGCACTCCCCCCTCATATGCCCAGCCTCAGCAGCTGAGCATGGTTACAATCTGTCTCTCGCTCTTTGTTTCTTCTCTTCCCCCATCCTTCCTTTGAGGATCTTGAGGAGGCACACCACATTCCCCCCTCCACTACCCCATCCCCACTACCAACAACAAAAACCCTGTGAGGTGAGCCAGGATGAGTGACTGGTTCTGGGTGATCCAGATGACAGGGTCCTGGCCAGTGTTCCCTCTAAGCTGAGTTAGTGTGAGCTAGCTCACAGTTTTTTAGCCTCTGGCTCACACATTTTTGTCTTAGCTCAGGAAAGATGGCTCCAGAGCAAACTAATTTATGCAGTAGCCAATTTACCTGCTCACAACTTTAATGCCGGTAGCTCACAAACTAAATTTTTTGCTCACAAGAGTCCACAGCTTAGAGGGAGCATTGGTCCTGGCTCAGGAAGAGGGGAGTCTGAACCAGGCTCTTTCATCTCCCCCAAACCCTAGTTCTCACCCCTCCTGCTTTTCCCACAGAAATGGTGTGGCTGAGGGAAGGACTGATGGAAAGGCTGTTTCTGAAACCTCCAGGGGGTGCTTTTTGTCATCCCATGGCCCCTTTTCCCTCATGGGCTGAGAACAGGTGGTGGGGAAAGGGAGGTCACCATCCCCCACCCACCCCAACACTCACTCTGCATCCTGGCTCTGCGACTACTCAGACCTGCGGTGGTGCAATCAGCGCACCTTTTTCCCTTTGCTCCTCTACTCACTTCCAAGGCCAGGAGGTCTTTTGTCTTTGGAGCGGCATGCACTCCCACTTGCCTCCCAATCCATGTGCTGGCCCTTGTCCTCCTCTCTTTCCCATTGGCCTTGTCTCCTCATCAGCTAACTGCCACTCCATGCACCTGCTCTCACCAATTCCCCTCACAGTCGCCATTTGAAAAAATGCAAAGCTGGTTGGTGTTGCGGTGGCAGCACTGGCCACTCGGCTCCCCCCCCCCCCCCATGTAATGGCTTCTCCAATCCTCACTGTGCTGCAGTCAGAGAAAGGGGGAGGGGGGAAACACCACATCTCTTTCTCTGCTTTTGCTTCAATTTTCTCCACACTATTTCAACTTACCCTCTTAACCCCACCCCAGTCATTTCTTTCTATTTCTTCACAGCTTCAATCACACACATACTTAAACATGTTCTAGGGCTGCCAAGTCCCCCCTGGGGGCAGAAATCCCCCCACCCCAGAGGCCCGTTCCCCGACGCCGGGGAATCAGGCCCCGGGGGGAACCCCACCCCAGCATGCACGTCACAGGGAAGTGACGTTATGACACCGGGCACGCTGGGGGCGGGGCCACAGCCATACAAGGGAAAACTCTATGGTAGAGCAATGCTCTGGTTTTGGGGCAAAACTCTATGCTAGAATTCACTTCAAATCATAGAGTTTTGCCCCAAAATCAGATTGTCCCCCCCGAAATCCCCAATTTGCCTATGTCACTTCCAGTTTTCGTAGGCATATCGCAATGGGTTCCTGCTGGTAAGAGAGGGTGGTTTGGGGGGGGGAGCGCCCAAAAGTGGGAGAGCCCTGCCCACACTGGCAACCCTAGTGGGACTGTACCTTGAATCCTGCTATAAAGGCTGCTCTTTCTGTATGCAAGGTTGCCCACGAGTGACTGGCAACCAGCAGAAGTCCAGGGGGCAGGGAATGGGGGTGCCATAGGGCAATGGCTTTATGTCACTTATGAGGGAACCCAGAAGCAACACCATGCCTATCTAGGAATCACCAAAAATTCTATGGGAAAGCCAAAGAGTTTTCAGTGATTCCTAGACAGGAGTGACATCACTTCTGGGTTCCCCCAGAAATAATATAATGCCATCATCCAGCAGTGACTTTTAATTTTTCCCCCCTCCCGCCAGACACTGGAGTGCCAGTGGGCAACAGGAGGTGGTGTTGGGATATCTTCCAACACCAGCGGGCAAATGACAAGCCTACTGCATGCACACTAGTATGCAGGTCCTTCCAAAAAAAAAAGCAAATGTATAGGAGTTTGTAATCCAGCAAGTTGTGCAGCTCCACAACACACCTGAAGGTCACAATCCATCAGGTGAAGACCACTACCGTAAGGGTCTTCAACCCCAGGCCAGAAATGCTGTTCTGGATCCAAACCTATACCTTATTATGACCAAACTGTCACACAGTACTGAGCAAGCTCAGAATTCCACATCAGCTTGATGAACAAAATATTAAAAAGAAGTAAGATGTTTCAAAGCCATCTTCATACAAGCAGTAGAAACTCATACTAACTGCTGCTGCCTGTGCATAACCATGATATGTCACCCAAGTGTTAGGGGGCACATTTCTCTCCTCCATACATCATATGTTTACTGCAGTATTAACCAATGTATCCACTGTGTTGTATGGAAGTGTTAAGCAGCTCAAAGAGAGCTCTGTGTGGCACATGTGAAATAGCTCTTGCACACAGTCTAGTATTATCTTAGAGGCATGTATTCCTATGTGTTTCTAAGATCTGGACTTTTCTGGAGACAAGAAGTCCCGAGGTAGGGTATCTTACATACACTTGAGATCATGTGTATTTAATCTGTTTGTTAAGTCACCCCAGATGAGCTCAGCCTGGGTGGTAGAGGGTTCTTAAAACCAACATCTTGAGCAAAGCTCTTCTTCCTTTCACAAGAGCTATTTCTGCTAACAAAATGCCTTCCACATGATGTTCTTCCAAATTATTCATGTTCTTTTTTGTATAGGGCCTAGTATATTTAATAATTCCAGAGGTTTTGCTGCAATAGTCATGTTAGTTGCAGCAAAGAAGAAATAGGAGCCTTTTAGCACCTTAACATCTTGCCAGTTTTTATTCTAGCATAATCCCTTGTGGACTAGAGTGCACTTTGTAGTTCACTAGGCATGTACTTTGTACTTTACTAGGCACTAGGCATGTGAGGACCCATTTCATGCACAAGATGAAGTGGGCTCTGGTTCAGAAATTCTTATGGTAGAATAATTTTTTTTAACTAATTAATGACCAGCTGAGAGGCTGCAAGGAAATGTGGGGAGGATAAACCCATAGGAAGGTGGCTGAACATTCAGGATTAAGTAAGTAACACTTCCATACCATTGGATATTGCACTATCATTGTGCTATAACACTGGATTGGCTTGTCCACACAGGGAAGTCCAGTTGTGAATGATTGCTATAGTCCAACACCCAGTGATGTGTGAACATAAGAACATAAGAGAAGCCAGTGCTGGATCAGGCCAATGGCCCATCCAGTCCAACACTCTGTTACAAGGTGGCCAAAAATACCAGGTGCCATCAGGAAGTCCTCCAGTGGGGCCAGGTGTAGACCAAGGCTACTGAGACACTTGACCTAGAGTTGCCAACTCCAGGTTGAAAAATACCCAGAGATTTGGGGGAGTGGAGCCTGAGGAGGGAGGAGTTTGGAGAAGGGAGAGACCTCATCTGTCCCTTATATATAAAGCCGTTTTCGCCTCCAATGCTCGATGTGCACCAACAGTGGTTGGCCGCATTAACTGTCACTCAGAAGGTCTCCTGAGTGCCGCCCACAGAAGCCAAAATTCCCCTCGCAACACACCTGCAACGGAGGAGAGATGACGTCCTTAGCCTCTTCAGCCTTTCTTCCGTGGGGCCATGCAAGCGTTCACAGGGCACTGGTAGGACGCTGGTAGGGGCAGGTAGCCTCAGGGCTCCCCTTCCACACGGTGGCATTCACTTGGTGCCTGTTTCCCACACACACACACACAACATCGCCAAGCTTCCCATTCCAAGCCCAGCAAGCAGGTGGAAGGGAAGGGGCGGACAGAGCGAACTCTCCCACCTTGGAGACCATCCGAACAGCGGCATCTTCCAAATGAAAGCGTTAAAAGAAATCTCTTCGGGAGGTGCTTCGATTGCTGTCTTTGAACCCCTTGCCAAGGGAGAAAGGGGAGGAGGGACTTTTAGTTGGAGGAGGGTGCAAGTATGGTTGGCAGAGACCTAGAAAATAGTGGCCTGTGCCCTCCTGGCATCCCAAAGGGGTTGAAGGGTCTTTCTTTCTTTCTCACTCTCTTTCTTTCTGTCTCTCTCCCCCGTCTTTCTGTATCTCACTCTCCCCCCTCTTCCTTCCTTCCTTCCTTCCTTCCTTCCTTCCTTCCTTCCTTCCTTCCTTCCATCCTTCCTCCCCACCTCCCTCCCTTCCTTCTTTCTTCCTTCTTCCCTCTCTCCCTTCTCTCTCTTCCTCTTTCCTCCCTCCCTCCTTCCTTCCTTTCTCTATCTCCTTTCCTCCCTCCCTCCTTCCCCTCTTTCTTTCTCTTTCTCTCTCTCTTCCTCCCTCCCTTCTCTCTCTTCCTTTTTCCTCCCTCCCTCCTTTCCTTCCTTCCTTCCTTCCTTCCTTCCTTCCATCCATCCATCCATCCATCCATCCTTCCATCCTCCCACCCTTCCTACCATTCTTCCTACCGTTGTCTTCCTCCACAACGTGGTTTGCTCCCTAGTTGAAATATAATGCCGTAGAATCCACCCTCTAAACATCCATTTTCTCCAGGGGAACTGGTTGTAATTCTGGGGTGTCTCCAGGCACCCCCTGGAGGTTGGTAACCCTAACTTGACCATAAATATGTTATTAGAGTGAACAAGATGAGGACCTGTGAGAAATCATGGGAAGGGGGAAAAGATTGGCATATCTATGCATGTAAAAATAACCCCACTATTTTATTCTAGAATGGGGAAGATCCAGAAATATCTCTGCTCAGTCATGAAGCTCTTTGAGCAAGCTCTGGCCAGTCATCCATCCATCCATCCATCCATCCATCCATCCATCCATCCATCCATCCATCCATCCATCTCTCTCTCTCTCTGCCTTGTTGGAATACAGCAATGTCTTGTGTACAAAGAAAAAGAGAAAAGAAGATCCTGCAGAGGGCAGCAAACTCTAGCTAGACAGAACGGTAGGGTAGCCAGCTGTAGGTTTGGAAATCCCTGGAGATTTGGGGGTGGAGAATGGGGAAGGATCTCAGCAGGGATAATGCCATAGAGTCCAGTCTCTGAAGCTGCCATTTTCCCAGAGGAACTGATCTCTGTTGTCTAGAAATCAATTGTAATTTCAGGAGATCTCCAGGCCCCACCTGGAGGCTGGCAACCCTGCCTAGGAGGAGCACCTTCTTTTTAAAGGGATTTTTGCTTTACAACAGAATGCTATTCTTAGGCTTTTCTTACAGAACAGTCTAGAACTCTCTCTCTCTCTCTCTCTCTCTCTCTCTCTCTCTCTCTCCCTCTCTCTCTCAGCTAGTCAGGCAACTAGGTTTATCTCTTCTCATCCCTATCCAGTTTGTTAGTTCTTAAATGAAGCTTTTGTCACTTTTTAATCAATTCAGTGTCCTGACTGCTGCATAGGCACTCTGCCAACATACCTCATGAGATTGTTGTGGGAAGAATGTGGAGGATGGAACATAAGAACATAAGAGACGCCAATGTTGGATCAGGCCAAAGGCCCATCCAGTCCAACACTCTGTGTCACACAGTGGCCAGAAATACCAGGTGCCATCAGGAGGTCCACCAGTGGGGCCAGGACATTAGAAGCCCTCCCACTGGGTTTTTTTTTTAATATAACACAATTTTTATTATTTGGATATATTAGCAAACAACATTACATTTTGTATACTTTCATCCCCCCCCCATATATCCCTTTCTTCCACTCCTTCCCCCCTTTTTCCTGGCCTCCCGCAATGCTCCACCCTCTCGAATAATACAGTATAAACTTTATAAACCTATGAACTTGGCTTGTAGCCTATGAACTATAGGCTTGTAGCCTATGAGCTATGAACATAACCCCGATATCCTTAGAAATAATGGAGGAATAAAAACATACTAGATAGACAACTGATTTTTTTAGCTTATTGTCTTATTATTTCTACAAACTGCCTTGTATGGTAGGAGTGGCACAATATAAACCATACAAATTAATGATAACAGTTGGGGGGTTCTGGTGTGCACCATCTGTAAATCTGTTCAGAAGAAATTCAGGTTTGGCATGCCCCATGGATCCCAGTTCTTGTGGCTTAACAGAGTTTCTAACAACACTGAATGATGATTTACAACATACCTTTTTCCCAACAGTGAAGAATTTCCAGGACTGAGCTTGGTAGGTTGGAAGATTTTGGTAAGCTACAAATTTCTCATCAGTCCATTTGTAGATGGCTGAGCCAGGTGGAGTGTACCGATTAGCAGTTGCTGCAAAGAGTCCAACCTTGGGAATGATAAAGACTGCAATGCCCATTGTTTCAGAATTTGTAGCAAAGCTCTGATATTCTTCCAGATAGTCCAACCTTTCTTTGACTAGAAAGTAACACAGAACAAGAATTCAAATATCACTAAATTATGCAGGCCTGGTCCAGTAGAAAGAGGGCATGTATGCTACCACCCCCCTCCGCAAAGTGTGAAGCCTTCCTCGAGTCTACAGTAGGCTTGCTAAGTCCCCCTGGGGGGTGGGAAAAACCCTGCCCCAGAGGCCCGTTCCCTGCCGCTGGCGGATAGGGCCCCGGGGGGAACCTCACTCCCAAAGTACGCGACGTGCACGTCACCCGGAAGGGACGCAACCACATTTTCCCTCAGATGGTCGTGGCCCTGCCCCCAGCGTGCCTGGCGTGGTCGCGTCACTTCTGGGTGACGGGGTTGCGGCGCGCGCGTGCCCCAGGAACAAGCCGGGAGCCCCCCGCTTCAGCAGCAGGTAAGACTTAGCAACCCTAGTCTACAGAGCTCCAGGGGAAGAGCCACCTAAGCTGGAGGAAAGCTTCAAACATTGCTGAATGGAATATCCAATACATGCTGGTGGGATATCTAAATTTGTGTTGTCATTGGTTTGTGGGGTTTTTTGGTCCTCTTCACTCTGTAATCCTGTTTCTTGAGCCTGTCGTCCCTTCCAAAATCTCTCCCAGGCTTGTCTGGCCTACCCTTGTTTTGTCCAAGTTTACCTTCTAAGCATTGATCCAGCCACACTAATCGAGTAAAAAATTACTGTACAATGGAGGAGAGGAGAACAATATAAGGCTCTTTGGATGCCCATTTGGGAGAAAGTCAGGGTACAAATGAATAAATAAATATTATTTGACACTGTGAACCTTTGCAGTGTTTGTCATATATAACCCCAATATAATCAATGGGCTTAGACCGAAATAATTCTGCATAGGACTGAACTGTAAACTATCTGATAGCTTTGTACTGGGGCCAGTGAATCCCTTCCACCCTGACAAATTCCTTCCTATTGTAATGATGTCTATAATGTCTTGCCTGTCCCTGCAATGTAAAAGAAAATGTGGAACTGTTTATAATACCATACTTCAGGTATATCTACTTTATATGTTTATAATAGTTTATATATCATTTTAACTGCCATGGTTTCCCTCAAAGATCCTGGAAATTGTATCAAGAGGAGCTGAAAATCCTCTTTTACAGATTCCACACACATATTTCCATTTTCATGATTCACAGAAAAGTAGCAATGGATCATAAATGTGCCCCCATATGTAACGGTACACAATAGAAACTAAGGTTTCAGGTACAACACTTGCTCTCTATGTAAATGTTGGGAACAGACTAGGGTTTGTTTATGATGGGCACAAACTTCCTTAATGGTTTGTGCCCTCCTTTCCTCATCATACCCCATTCTCTCCTCACGCAACATGCTGAGACTGAAGACAGAAAGTCTTCAGCTGAAGCCAATGAGTCACATATGAATGTGAGTTTAATGAACTGAGGTTAGTTTCTTTCCCAGTAACCAGGATTCTTAACCACAAATTTAATTATGGTTAAGAATCAAAGTTACTGGGATAGAGACCAACATCAATTTGCTAAGGAGCCTGCATTCCTACATAGTGACTAACTGTAGTTGAAGAACTTCCATCTTTATACTCAGTGTGCTGTGTAAGAGAATTAATTATCATATGGTGTAGAATAGCCAGAAGATCTAAGATTGTCTGGCAGCCACAAGTTTTACCTCCTTTAGTGTTATGCACCACTACGTAGCAAGCTAGACTTGTTTTTAAGGCAAGAGACATTTCAGAGGTGGTTTGCCATTGCCTGCCTCTACCTCATGACCTGGTATTCCTTGGAGGCTGCCCTTCCAAATACTAGCCAAGGGCCAGGGGTCATTTCATAGAAAAAGAAGTGCATGAGCTCATTAGCATAATTTATTTGCATATGCCACACACCCTGACATCACCGAAAGTGTGTCAGAAGGCAACACCCACTGCTCAGGCTCCACTCCCAAAATCTCCAGGTATTTCCCAACTCAGAGCTGGCAAGCCTACCTGATGGCACACGTGGGGAAAAAGAAACAAACCACCCATGTCAGGGAAAGGGAGATACCAGGATAATATATTTTTATTCTCCTTGGCATTGATGGCTGCGGTGCTTTTAGTGTTCCTTTTCTGTTTGCCTGGCAGCCTTCCTCTCTGTTATAGTTGACTGTGGGTTTTATATCACTGCCATTTAATCCACAACAAGGTCACTTTCAGAGAGGAAAAGCAGGTTATCCATTTTTAAATAAATAATGTTGATAAATCTGGATCCACAACAACAACAAAATTACATCCGCTAATTTTTGCCTAAACAAAACCCAATGATCTAGAGTTGTGGTCTTCAACCTAGGGGTTGAGTGGCAGACAGAGCCACTCCACCTCCCCACACTGCTCAATAATTCAACTCCCTTCCAGTTTCCCTTTAGTCCAAGACAAGGCATTCCTTCAAAAGTTTTCAAAAAGAAGGGGGTTTAGTTTTCTGCTCCTCGCCTGGCAGACATGCTCGAGCAGAGCTCCACTTGGTGCGACTGTCCCACGGCAGACAGGAGGGGGTCCGGCTGTTGCCGGTTCCCTCCCGGAGCCCCTGTAGAGGGCTCCCAGCCATGGGGCTTGAGTAGTGCCACTCCTGAGGCTTGATGCCAAGGAATTGAGGCACGCTTTGCCCCGAAGGTCCTGCTGCCGAGGCACCATCATGGTTTCCAGAGGTGCACACCGGACGAGCGTGCAGGAGTTCCAGCGATTAGCAAACTCTCTGATTATGAAAGTTTCAGCAGAAGAGTGAGTGACTCTTCATCAAGTTTATGAACTTTTAAGTGAGCTCGGTCCCCCCCCCCTTAATGGACAGAGGAAAGGGAAGTATCCCCCCACACACACAGGCTGAAATATTAAGCAGACTTACCAGGACAGGGGAAAGAGCAAAGAATATCCTTATCTGTATGAACAAGTATATTGATAAGTAAAGCGGACTGAAAACAAACCATTTTGTTGACTCTTTGAAACTTCTCTGGAATGTAAACAATGTCTAACCGACAAGGTAAAATGGCGCCAAAGAAACTTCCTCTGGGTGCTGGGAAAGCGACTCCTGTCATGAGACCAGAAGTAAATGCAGACTTCCCCGACATGCTAGCTGATGCATTGTGACCCCTGCTGGAGCAGATGACTCATGTCAACCGAAACTTGGAAACTCTCCAGAACAGATTGCTAAGAACTCTAAAGCTATATAAAAAAATCGTTTTCAAAACCTTTGCCCTTGACCAAAAAGTGGAACAGATAGAAAAAGAAAGAACATCTGATAAAGAACAACTCCTCAGACTACAAGCAGAAAAATCAACTTGTGTTGAGATTCCAAGGTGTTCCTGAGCAAAGTGCTGAAAACCTCAAAGAAACTTTGAGCCGAGCATTAGCCCCCATGACAGGTATGAAACCGGATCTCTACAAAGCGATCTGGATGTAGTCTATAGAGCATATCCTGAATTTATTAAGGAAAAAAACCTGCCAGGGGAAATTGTAGCAAGATTCTCAAAAACATCTACCAGAGATGAGGTGCTTAAAGCTACAAATGGGAACATGTTAGATTCAAGATGTGGAAATAAGAGTTCTGAAGGATATACCTTTTGAAATTAGAAAGAAGAGAAGGCAGTACAAAGAACTGACTATTTTTCTAAAAAAAAAAATCCGTAGTTTACAGATGGCTCTTTCCAGAAGGGATAACGTTCAAGTACAAGGATCAAAAAGAAAAGATTGACTCTGTTGATAAAGCTCAAAGATTTCTGGAACAAGTACAAGACAAACCGAAAAAGAATCCAATGGAGGAAGAGAAAAATCATCAAGAAGAAGGAGAATGCAGCTCGGGCAGTTTGGGAAGTTCTGATACAGGAACAAGCAGCTCATCAGAACAAGATTCTGCATCAGAATTGGGGGCAGCTGCCCTCAAAGTATTAACTGTCAAATTAGACTTTGATAAAGATAAAAAGAAGGGAATAAAGGGTAGAAGGGGAAAGTAAATTATAACTGTTTACTAAATTAGTTTGATGAATATTATTACTTGCTCAAACCAAATACACTAACCATGAATTGGGGTTTTTTTGTACTTAAGCTGATAAAATGAAAAAGAATTTCACTCACAAATGATATATTATGAGAATTATGCATACTTATAGAGATCAACATGTCTATAAACTCTCTTTTTTTTAGTTTTAGTCTGTAGATGTTTAGGTGTGGCAGTGGGTAATTGTTGTAGTGTGTAGTGAAAAAAACCAATAAAATCTTTTAAAAAAAAGTTTTCAGAAAGACCATAATCTCCCCCCACCCTGCTCCCTTAGAAACCCAAGAACAGCTAATGAAATACTGCAGGTTTCTGACAAGTACAAAAGATGCTCAAAATGACAGCATCAGAGCCAAGGCGGTGTTTAATCCATTTAAAGCAACAGTACACAATAAACTTAACACACCTCCAAGTCCTAGCAAGACTAAAAGTCTTCCTTTAAGTTCCACTGACAGGCAAAAGTTGGACCAAGATAGGGGCAGCCTTTCAGAGGATGCCAAGGAAGTTGCTGACCTACTTGCAACCTCTAAGCCAGGACTTAACAGGTGAGATGGCTACAGATGGTAGACAATAGAAGTGTGCTCAAGCCCCACCCAGCATGAAGAATCACTTACAGTAAGTGTTACCAGGCTAGGGCATTGGCTACCAACACACAAACGACAACCACCACCACCCCGCCCTGGGAAGCCAAGAAACCATGCCAGGAGGCGACATAGAATTACTTGAGAGTGCCTAACCCAGCTACAAGGTTGAGCGGGGAGGAGTAGATGCCTCCTTTGTTGGAGGAAAAGGCATGCTGATCGTGCTGCGCTGAGCGAGCCGAAGAGAGCCTAGGCTTACAGGCAAAGGTCCAGGGGAATGCACAGGCAGTCTGCCTCCGAAGGTGGCCAGGAAGAGGAGGTGGGGCCAGGGGGCGCATCTACCAACACTCTGCCGCAAACCAGCTTCCTTCAAGGCAGGCAGGCAGGCAGGCAGGGGCCATCAGAAGAGAACGGCCTCGCTGCCTCTTGCGAAGTGGTGCCTCATCCAAGAAGAGGGCCGGGAGAGTCGCTTCATCACGGGAAAAACCAAGAGAAGCTGCCCTTTCCTGGAGAGCCAGCCGTTCCCAGAGCCCAGACTGATGACCCAAGGCTGAGCCCCTGCGCCCCTAGGCTGGGAAGGGGCTTTTCTAAAGGGCTGGCAGCAGCAAGGCACACCATCTGGTGGTCCTGGGTCACCCGCAGAGAGGCCTCGGTGTGGCGGGTGATGCGCGGGTCTCCTGAGAAGGAGCCAGCGCCACACACCCACCCTGCCGCTGCCCTCCTTTCCCCCAGCAGTGCCTTCTGCCCGCGCACTTGCGCCCACCGGCTGCAGCGGGCCAGACCGCACACCGCTCAGATGCGAGCGCGCACTGTGTGGGAGGGAGGGAGAGAAGGGACTGGGTGCTGTGCTGGGTGCCATGGTAGCTGCCAGCAGCATGTGCCCCATAATCCCGACAGACATGTGCCGGCACCACGCTGAGGCCCCCTCTCTGCCCGCCCATGGGTGTCATGGTGGTGGGCTTACCTGCGGCAGGGCTGGCAGCCGCAGGGTGTGCTATCTGGTGGTCCTGCGCTGCCCGCAGAGAAGCCTCGGCATGGCGGGCAGCACGCGGGTCTCCCGAGGAGTCAGCGCCACATGCCCGCCACGCAGCCGCCCTCCTTTCCCCCAGCAGCGCCTTCTGCCCGCACACTCACACTCACCGGCTGCAACAGGCTGGACCCCGCACCGCTCAGATGCGAGGGCGCACTGGGTGGGAGGGAGGGAGAGAAGGGGCTGGGTGCTGTGCTGGGCACCATGGGAGCTGCTGGGCTTCTTCTTCCGGCAGGAAAGGCAGCAGGAGGGCTTCCTGCATGTGCCCACCCCTGGGCTCCTTCCTGCCGGAGCACCACTCTCATGCACTCCAGTGGGAAATGACCACTGGCCAAGGCCAACCCTGTTTAGCCTGGGCTATCAAGGTGAGAGAAGAAGGCAGGGAGCACAACAGCCCAACAATAAACCAGGTTCATGCCCATCATAAACTCCATTTTCTAACCCTGCTTCCCACTCCCGGCATACCTCCCTCAAGCCAGCATCCTCAAGAGCACCAAACAGAGCCAACAGTTCAGTTGCTTTCAGACAGCACTTACTTTCTATCAAGGAAATCCATTCCTTCCCGTTACAAACATACAGTCCTTTCTGAGCAGCATTAAACCAGAACTGGCCACTTTCACTCTTGGTGCAGCGAGGGCTGAACCCCAAAGTCACCTTCATGTCTGCTTCTGAATAATAACAATAAGAGCAAAACAACAGCAAATGAGTCACTCCAGATAAAAGGAAAATACTTTCTGTGGTACAATATGTAATGCCATAGTGTGACATATACTTAGATACTGTATGGTAAAAATACAAGATTTAATTGCATTGTCTTTAGTCACCCTTTAAGTATAAACATACTAAAACATAAAGAAGTATGGTAACAAACATTTCCAAATCTGTGATGGATTTTAGCAAACCACTCCAAATACCTTGGGCAGATAACAACTGAAAAGAAAATAGTTTAAAACAGGGGTGTCAAACTCATTTGTTATGAGGGCCCTCTGGGGGGCGGATCCGGCCCCTGGGCCGCATGTTTGACACCCTTGGTTTAAAATCTGCATCTCCTTCTTTGGTTTGTGATCTCCTATACATAAAAATGTCTGCTATCTGCTTTGTCTGCACCAAGGAAAAATTGGTATTTGTGGAAAGTAATGTAATTTCAGTAAGTAATAGCTAGAACGTTTATCTGAATTAAGTAGAGGTCAGACAGTGATAGTGTCATTCTTTGTGATGTTGTTATAGTACAATAATTGATTTTAAGAACGTCTGAGCCCACCACACACAACTCTCTGGTCCCCATCCATGCTCATATCCTATTTAAATCAATGGGACAAGTTAGTTGCCAGTAACTTAAGATCAATTGAGTCCCATCAGATTTAAACACTTATGCCTCAATATATAGTCGTTAATACAAAGTTAGGCTGCAGAAACTACTTGTTCTTTGCTTGCTGTCTAAATGTCTAGCTCCATCTAGCCAATACATAAAAGCACAAAACAGGGCCACGATTCAAAGTATGCCCAGTACTTACCTTCTGCCATGGAAATACACTCATTCCCATTGCACTGATATAGTCCTTTCTGAGCTAGTTCTTACATGGAAATAGCCTCCATCTGGGGGGGAAATGTATACTATCATGTGTGAAGTTGAACTGCAAATACATGGGTCAAGAAGCTACTACACACACTTGCTTCCTAACCCATGCGCTCCTGTAAAAATAAGCACCAACTTCACACATGATGGTGAACAAGTCTTCTCTTGTATGGAGATTATCTTCATGTAGAAATATGTATGAAGTGGCACTGTGAAATCAGACTTCTCCTTTTCTAGTATTGTTCATGATCACCAAACGTTTCCAAAGTTTCAAGACTGACCAAAAATGCCTTAAAGACTATGACTGCTTCCATAACATGAAAATCCTCTGTGTAGCATTCACTACCATGGCAAATGCAGAGGCAATCACAGTGACAGTAGAGTATCCACATGGCAATTTCCCCAGCAGTTTCCTTCAGTGGCAGTCGATAAAGGCAGCCACGAGTGGCTAAGGCAAGGAATATGGCAACAATGTGGGCAGGACCTGCAAAAATGCACACCTTCCCATCCACATGGCATGTAAGCATGCTTTGACTGTGATCTTTCCGAAAAGATATCCCAAACCAGGTTTGGGAAAGAGCATAGCACAGCGGAGGAAAACAAGGAAAGTGAACAGTTAGGAGATGACGACACCAAACCAAAGCAAAACCTATACATGGAAGCAGTCTATGAGATGGCAAGATACATAAAAGATGGGAGTTCTTAATAATAGGTGCAATGTTTTTCATTCACTTTCTGGTTTCTGGACTTCTAAGGAATGCCTGTTCAGATTCCTATGCACTCATTTATTTATTTATTTATTTATCTTGTTAGACTTTTAGCCTTCCCTCCCCTGCACAGCAGGCTCAGAGTGGGTTACAACATTCTAGAACATACAAAAATTTAAAATAAAATACAATTCATCAAAACAGCTTCAGTACAATATAAATCTCTAAAACCCTTAAGAGGTGCCAGGTAAACAATTTAATGAATAGGATAAAATTCTGGATTATGCATAGCTGCCTGTTGTGGGGAGGGGGAGGGGAAGGAGATTGTAAACCGCTCTGAGGCTCCTTTGAGTAGTGAAGAGCGGGGTATAAATCCAATCTCTCTCTCTCTCTCTCTCTCTCTCTCTCTCTCTCTCTCTCTCTCTAAAAATACAAGACATCATTAAAAGGTTGCAGATGACATCCAATTATATTTCCTCTTCTTGAATCCTGGTGAGGAGATGGGATTTTTTGCACAGAGGCCTAGTGTAAGTAAGGGGTGGGCTGAGGGTAAACATACGAAATCTGAGTCCAGATAAAATGGTGATATGCAGGGGTCATTTCGTAGAAAAAGAGCTAGGGGAACTCATTAGCATAACTCATTAGCATATGCCACACACCCTGACATCAGGGGTCCGGCAGTGGACCTGCAAGGCCAGCGGGAGTGCGAGGAAGCCCCGCCAAGGCCCTCCCTAGCCCCAGGCAGGCAGGGGTGGGGAGAGGCAGGGAGGAAGCAACTCCCTCTTCTCCTGCCTCCACCTGGCTGAATGAGGGCTGGAAGCGGGGTGGCCGGAAGCAGGGGGCGGGGCTTCATCATGTGCCCCACCCCCTGCACCTCACCCGGGGGAACTGCATTCCCCCGCGTTCCCCCCCGAAATGACCTCTGGTGATATGAATAAAGGTAAGGAAACTAGACAATCATGAGGGTATGATGTGCCTTGGATGGGTTGCATTGCCCCTTGAGGAACAAATCTACATACAGGAAATACAGCTGGTTCATGTTCTGCTTCTTGATTCATAGTATCTGTGGCCAGAAGGGCTTTTCACTAGCTGATTCTGGTGTACTAGCTTGATCCTTATCTAGAAGACAGAGAGAGCTAGCCACTGTGATATATTTAAAATTTTCTTATGAACAGGGCTGCCGGTGGATAATAAAAGATGGAGGCAAGCACAGGGCTAGGGCAGCTGCATTTTAAAGTGCTTGCTGACTCATTCACTGCTGTCCTCTGCTATGGCACTATACAACAGCAGGTAGAAGCAGCAGGAGGTTTGTGCTGTCCATTTCCTCAAGGGACAAGAAGTTCCAGATGCAACACTGCGATAGGGCAGCAGATCTCCCTCACCACATTAGATCCTCAAAAGAACCTGCATCCCAAAGTGCTTAAGCCAACATGGTTGTCTCCTTCTCTATCTCAGTCTCTCTCAGTTTCAGCACTAAACCTTTTGTTTGTTCTCCTCTCTTTCTCTCTTCCTCCCTCCTTCCCAACACATACATACATGTACACACAGACAGCCTGACCCATAGCCTCAGCTGGTACAGGTCAGTCATATCCAGCAAGCTCACTGGGTATTTTAATACAGTCATCCTAACCATTAGTGCCAACTGAGGCACATTCTTTTGTCATAAGTCCAGGTGTTCCACTTTAAACCAAAACCATATAGTACCCACTCAAAGTACTCAGAAAACCATTGCACAGTCATATTTTGCAACCCTCCTCTTGCTCTCTCATGCCATCCTCCTACAAAGACCCTCTCATTATTCCTAATGGTCCACTGGTCTCCAAGCCCCCTGCCTGCAGCCGACTTCCAGCAGGAGCAATGGGGAGGGGGTGAAAGCAGGCCCACATTGTCTTTCACTTTTAAGAACCTTCAGTTCATTTATTTTCTGTGCCAAGAAATTATGAAGTCTGCGTTCTCCACAAATGGTACATATGAAGCAAATTTGGATAAATTGTTTCCTACTAGTGTGCCAGAAAGCACATACTGCCAACCTAACACATTTGCATGACGCATATGTTGCACCAACCTCCCAGGCTCTCTTGAGCCACAAAAGCAGCATAGGAAAGGATTGCAGAGCTAGGCTTGTGGCAAATATGTATGTAGACCTGTTCATCAAAATGCTGGAAAAGGCATACAAAGAGCTCTCCTATTTATTTTTACTTGAGAACAGAAGTATTACATGCTTTTTTATAACACTGAAAACCTAGTGACACGAGATACATCAACTACAAGAAATCAATATGGCAATTTTCTGGAAGAAAGAATAACATTAAAAATTCCTGTGCCTCAATGAATAAAATAACATGAAATGCTAGCCTGTTTTGTACATCCACACATTGTTTGATATTGTGCACTTATTACAATCTTTTGCAGCTGGATTGGCTTGTCCAAAAAGGACAATCCAGTTGCAAATGAACCCAGTAGCTGCAATGACAGCACAATATCCAAGCAAGCTGTGGATGTAACTACTGGAATCTACCCTGACTCCAGGCTCATCATTTGAAACGTGGAAAGATTAAAAAGTAGCTCTGCTCTACAGTTTTCATATGAAAGGTGGTGAAGCACTCTGTTCCATATTACTGACCGTAAGGGTATTTCAGCAGCTCATTTCCCACTGGTTTCACGGGGAGGTCCTGCAGTATTTGGGGAATGGAGAGCACTGCTAGATTAAAGTTCATGCCAGTGCACATCCGTGAGGTAGCATCAGATCCTGGCAAGAGGACTAGCTGCCTTAATAAGCCCTGAAAAGAGAGGAAGAAAAACTAGGGAATCAATTCTATCAGGCTTATATGGCCAAGCTGTTGGGGTATGGGGGGTTTAACACAATATTTAATTTCTTTAAAGAAAGAGGCTCTGGGGCTTAAACCTGCCTGAAGATCACTGACCTAGAAATCTGGGCTTCTAATCCTTGATGCATGGGGACTAGCTGGGATTCTTGGTGGGAGAAATTTACTACTCAGACATACGTCCTTGTTTCTTCTTGTGCTTGAAGGCTGAGCTCTGCCACTGAAAACGCGATCTGGGGCTGGACTCATAGGTTGAGCCTCTGCTCAGATTAAGCCCTAGATATGGGTTTCTTCTCATTGTCAGCCTGTATATGGGAGCAGCTTCTCACCAAAATGTACACGATGGGTGAACAATTACAGCATTGGAACAATCCCTGCCCCTTGGCTTTTATTTTTATTTGTATATCTTATGTTCCAGAAATAGTAACAATACATATGATATACTGATCTTATCATTAGGATATACCCAAAGAATTACATCACTGTGTAGATATGATTTAAAGCCAAGTGTTGTAGGCAAGGATTCTGAGGTTTCAGAAAACAGCTGCTATTAGGGGATTTCCCCTTTGGTGTACTGGCTCTCCCACCCTCTGCCATCCTGGATCAGTATGAGCCAGACTCCCCGCTGGCCTCAAAATGGGAAGGAGAGGGGGTTCAGGTATAGGGTTGCCAACCTCCAGGTGGCAGCTGGAGATCTCTTGGCTTATTTCTAGGGTTGCCAGCCCCCAGGTCCGGGTGGGGGCTCCCCCACTTTTGGGGACTCCAATTCACCCCCAGCCAGCTGTCCAGTGGGAGAAGTCCTGCCCCCAAGCCCTGCCCTCAAGCACAACCACCCACCCAGGCAGCCCTCTCCCTCAGTAGTCCTTTTGAGAATCAAAAACTGGCTAATTAATAGGAAACAGAGAGTGAGTATAAATGGGCAATTTTCTCAGTGGAGGGTGGTAAGCAGTGGGGTACCGCAGGGATCAGTACTTGGTCCAATGCTTTTTAACTTGTTCATTAATGATTTGGAGTTGGGAGTAAGCAGTGAAGTGGCTAAATTTGCGGATGATACGAAGTTGTTCAGGGTGGTGAAAATTAGGAAGGGTATTGAAAACAGATCAGCCAATATCATAATGCCCCTATATAAATCAATGGTGCGACCTCATCTGGAATACTGTGTGCAGTTCTGGTCACCACACCTTAAAAAGGATATTATAGCTTTGGAAAAAGTGCAGGAAAGGGCAACTGGAATGATAAAAGGGTTGGAACACTTTCCCTATGAGGAAAGGTTAAAGCGCTTAGGGCTCTTTAGCTTGGAGAAAAGACGACTGAGGGGTGACATGATCGAGGTATATAAGATTATGCATGGGAAAGAGCAGGTAG